GGCAACAGCATCATCATCAACATCAGCAGCTTCTTCATCGTCGTCCACATCATCGTCGCCGTCATCATCAGCAGCATCAGCATCAGCATTATCATGGTCATCCTCATCCTGCTCATCATCATCAGCATCACCATCATCATCAGAATCAGCATCATCATCAGCATCATCACCACCATCCGTAGCACTCGTCGCAGCAGCAGCCTCATCCACCTCCTCATCCTCCTCCTCCGCCTCCTCATCATCTTTCTCATCCGCTTCCTACTCCTCCTCCTCCTCCTCCTCCTCCTCCTCCCCCTCATCATCAGCACCATATAAGCAGCATCATCATCATGATCATCATCATTATCAGCATCATCATCATCATCATCATCATCATCAGCATCAGCATCAGCATCAGCATCATCATCATCAGCATCATCAGCAGCATCAACAGCAGCAGCAGCCTCCCCCTTCTCCGCATCCTCATTCTCCTCGTCCTCCTCCTCCCCGTCACTATAATCATCATCAGCATCATCATCATCATCATCAGGAGCAGCAGCATCAGTAGCAGCAGCAGCCTGCTCCTCATCCTCCTCCTCCTCCTCATCATTCTCCTCCTTCGCCTCCTACGCCTCCTCCTCCTCCTCATCCTTCTCATCCTCCTCCTCCACCATCACCATCAGCATCATCATCAGCAGCAGCATCAGCATCATCATCAGCAATATCAACATCATCAGCATCATCAACATCATCATCTGCAGCATCATCATTGTCATCAACATCATCATCATCATCATCATCATCATCATCATCATCATCATCATCAGCAGCAACATTCACAAAATCATAATAATCATCATCACCACCACCAACGTCATCATCATCATAGCCGTCATCATCGCCATCAACATCATCACCGTCGTCATCATCGTCATCGTCATGGCAAGGGTAAACATCAGCCGCCTTATCAACATCATCAGCATCATCACCATCACCGTCATCATCATCATCATCATCATCACAACCACCATCAGCAGCAGCATGATCATCGTCGCCGTCGTTATCGTCATCATCATCATCATCATCAGCATCAGCATCATATTCATTATCATCATCCTCATCGTCGTCGTCGACGTCGTCGTCCTAGTCATCATCGTTGTCATCGTCAGCGGCATCTTGATCATCATCGTAATCATCAACAACCTTGTCATAATCATCATGATCATCACCATCACCATCATCATCAGCAGCATCATCATCATGAATATCATCATCATCGTCGTCGCATCGTCATCGTTACCAGCAACATCATCATAACCACCATATCCATCATACTCATCATACTCATCACGTGCATCATCACCACTAACATCATCAGCATCCTCAACGTCCTTCCTCGCCTGGCCGGCCCCCCAAACATCTGGAGCACCGAAAAATCGAGGCAGTCGGCTTGTAGTATCTGTTCGGCGTCGGGGCGACGGTGTCGGACACTGGGGAAGGTCCAAACAACGGCCCTGGACGAAAAGAAACAGGGAAGGTGTTGAGAGACCCAGGGACCCCCCACACATCGAAAAGATCGAAGCGCCAGATCCCAGGCGTCCGAATGTGGTGACACACTCTTTCCCCTTGAAGGACGATGTGCCTAAGCAATCCTTGGAATGCCACTGGATCGGTCGATGTCGCTGGTATCGTAACGAGTAGGGCGTGGAGCTCGAGCCCTCCCTCCTTCCCTCCTCGTCCGAGCCAGAGAGCTGCGGGCCGCCTCCTGGTAGAACGAGGCCCTCCATCCTCCCTCCTTCCAATTATCCCCCGCCCCCTCCTGCTGAGAATCTCCTCCCTTGCCGTATCCTGTCCATCATCATCAGAATCAAAAACATGGTCAGCAGCGTCATCCTCATCATCATCATCATCATCATCATCATCACCACCACCACCACCACCACCACCATCATCATCATCATCATCATCATCATCATCATCATCATCATCATCATCATCATCACCATGATCAACAACATCATCGTCATCATCATAATCATCATCAGCAGCATCATCATCATGATCATCAGCATCATCATCATCATCATCATCATCATCGCCATCATCACCAGCAGCATTCACATCATCACAGTAATCATCATCACCACCACCGTCATCATCATGATCATCATCATCATCAGCATCATCATCATCATCATCGTCATCATAGTGGTCATCATCGACATCAGCATCATCATCGTCATCATCATCGTCATCGTCAAGGTAATCATCATCAGCCTTATCGACATCATCAGCATCATCACCATCACCGTCATCATCATCATCATGACCATGACCATGACCAACACCATCACAATCATCATCAGCAGCATCATCATGATCACGACCATCACCATCATCATCATCGACGTCATCATCATCATCATCATCATCATCATCAGCAAACATCATCATCACCATCATCAGCATCAGCATTAGCATCAGCATCATCATCAGCATCATCATTAGCATCAGCATCATC